CAACTGTTGACAGTTTATCTGAGACATGATTGGTGCAAGTACGTCAACACACGTACAATAATCGTCTTTTCTCCACATGAAAGTGAAACAAAGGTGAAGTATTAAAGTTTGAAACTAATTTACATTTTTAATGAATCCGAACTGGCTTTACAAAAAAAAAAAAGGAAAAAACATTTATTGCACGTGCACAAGTTTTTTTTAAGTAACAACGAGAGCTCATTAAAAATATAGGGGACACAGTCTGTGAGAAGCCCGAGCAAAGACCACGTGGTTTAAACACTAAAGTTGGAAATGGATCCTTTTAGGAAAAATCTCTTAAAGCTCTGCATGTTCTGCAGGCTCTGAAAGTTGCAACAATAAAATAGCTCAAGAGACAATTGTAATTGGACATGGAAAAATATAACAAAGTTAAAATTACAGGCCTCCTGTGTTGTCTATATGTTTGTGTGTGTTATATGTTTGTGTATGTTATATGTTTGTGCGTCATGTCAAGTACACTACGTTGACCTTAACAAACTCTGGACCAATATACTAACGTGGGGAGTCGGTGTGTTGTGAGTGTGTTGTGAAATGAGGAGTGAACGAGGAGTGCTGAACGGAATCATGGAATAACAAATGTTTTTCTGTAATGTTTTAATGTGATCATGGAATAATTATTTTTTGTCAACAGCATACGGTGTAAGTACTAGAGATTAAAAGATAACAAGCTTTATTGAACAGGTGTAAAAGTGAGAGTACTCTGGGATGAGTACTCTGAGAAAGTACTCTGCGGAAAGTACTCTGAGATGAATACCTTGCTGAAGGTATTGGGAGTCCCCCGCCCTCTGCTGTTTGTCCTGACAGTGATTCGGTCCAACCGCAGTGAGCGGTCATTGGGCGGAGGACAACTGTGGTTTGTAACTCACATTTGGTGGAGTATAAAATTAGAAACATACATATTGTTAAGTCTGTATTTGGCTACAGCCTCTGCCCTAATGTCACACACCGTCTGTCAATGCAGTTATGTTTTGCCCAAATTGGAATGATTGACAGGCTGCACCATGCCAGGGAAGTGGGCATTTCTTGTGTTCTAATGTTTCTTTTTCAGATAAAGGATTAACTACCCCTGCTTCAGGGATAACACAGTAGTACGGATCATAAAGGAAATGAGCCTCTACGTTGGCACCAAAGCCCACAATACGAATTGAGGACGATCCGAGAGAAACAACTGGAGATGATTGGAACAGTAATCTACACACACACACACAGACGCATGTTTTACACTTGGCCCACGACCAAGAGAGGGAGTATGGTAATGTTATTGTCATAGGTGGTCATGGTCCTTAACCTTCTAAATCATTAGAAAGAAGTGTAAAACATATATTTACAAGAACAAATAAATAATAGAAAGGGCAGCCTAAAAGCAAAATGGGAAAATTATTAAATAATTTTCGGAGTTGCCAAAATAAAATAAAATTCTTTATTTGTCCCATAGGGGGTCATTCTAAATTTAGTGTGGTGCAAATTCAAAAGGAGAAATAATAGCGCTTATAACATCAAACAGATCTACACTTTAAGATAATAGATCATATAATAATAATAGAATAGAATGAAATAGTCTGGAGCTATAATGTCATTGGATTCAAGGAGCTATAGGTTAAAGTGTCGCTAAGAAGAGGTGTCAGAATAAACAATAGTAATAATAGTTAGACTAGTGAATAATCAAAATAGTTCTATTGTGAAAATAAGTATCAATAAGGTCAAATTGTTCTAATAATTAGAGTAAAAAGGAATCAAATAGAGTCAGATTTCGGATGCTTCTGTTTTCCACATCTGTAGGATCTAGTGCAGATGTGTTTATAGAAGAAGTAGTATTAAAATACAGACATAGAACGACAGGCGTTAACAAATTTTTAATCTAAAAAATAGCCCAAATATAACATTGCTTTGGACGCAGCCTCTGAGCTGCTCCATTGGAGAACAGGTTAAATGTTATTGTTTATTACAAACAGCTGATGTATTTACACATATTAAGTTTGGGACAACTCTTTAAACAGTTATAAGCAGCGGACAGAAGCTATGAATGTGTTTTTGTTTATTAAATAATTAATTTCATAGCCATATAATCGTAGAGGACATTTTTAAAATAGTTCTCTTCTTCCCGCTCCCTTTCAGGCAACTTGATTAGATTCATGTCTTTAATATTGGAGAACTACTGTGTTGTTTTTGGAATTGTCTGAAATACAATACATAAAATAGTGATTTGCAGAACGAGAACCAGCCAATGAAAAATCATCTATTGCCAATGCTATTGCTACAATTAGAACCACAACTGTGACCAAATGCAATAAATGTTAAGTGTTCAGTCTGGCAGACAAAAAGGTTGACTTTTAGTCTGGGGGAACTGAGCAACTGTTAAAAAGTATGAGTATTTCAGCGTTTTAGTAAATGTTAAATAGTAGGAAAAAGTAGAATTTGATCATTGTTTATAAACACACTTCAGCGTAAGAGTTAAAATGGTACCATACATTGTGATCCTTCTGATAGAGCAGCTAAACTGTTAGAATCAGAATTATTTTGCAGCCATTGAAAGTGACAAAACTCACAAATTGGAAATATGCTTTGGCTCAAGCTACAACCGAGCTTTGGAGTCACAATAGAGGAATAGATAAATGCATCAATCATAGATGCTTTCAAAAATAGAGATTATTTTTAGCCAGGGCTAATATCAAACGGCAAAGGGACCATTTCCTTCATAATATGTCCAAAAGTATTTACTTCAAAAGTAGATAAAGTTCATTACAGTTTATGCACAGTTTTATTAGATACTGTCAAATTCACTTGTTTCAAACATCTGTGAATGTTGACAATGCAAAAAGTTCATGAGTGTAGCCTTTCTGTACACGTCAGTCAAATCTTTTTTGACGACACTTGTTTATGGCTCTTAAAGCTGAAGTGGGTAGAAACTCACAAAGTCCAACCAGAAAGACCTCCTCAAAGCGTATTCAGTTTGTGAGTAAGTCCTTAATCTTTATTCATATACAGCACAGACACAAAGCGCTCTATAATGTGTTGGAGGACAGACATTTTTCTATTCACTCCACACATGACAATGACTGAAGCAAGATCTAACACCCTGACCATCACCATTATTACATTCAAACCCATTGTGTTGTATGTTTTTAGTGGTAGGAGAAACTGGAGCACCTGGAGGAAACCTACGCAGACACAGGGAGAATAGCCTAACTCCACACAGAAGGTCTGGAGTTGGAATAGAACCCAGGACCTTCTGGCTGCTATGCAATTGTCATATTTATCTGCCCTTCCAGCTCATGGTCAACTAATAATAATTACTGGAAACATGTGTACAAATTCTGTGTGCAAAGCCTTATAGAAGGAACAATAAGTAATGATTTTAGACATTAAATTCGTTTTTTTGCTTTAAAATATTTTACTTTTTCATTTCATGTTTTAGAATGTGAAACAATATCTTAGAAATTTAGCGAAACATGTATGAAGGGTAAAAATGCTTTCTGCCTGTAACTCCCTACACTGCCACCAGAGGCCATTTACGGTGGCAGAGAATCAACATCGTTAATTGTCAGAACTAATACTTGGGAAATACTCAGTCAACTGCGTCGAGTGTGATGTCATAGTGTTAACATGACATCATTCAAGTACAGGACTGAGACAGGAGCTTTTAGACCGTTGTGCCCGAAGTTCCTGATTTTAGCGTGGATGGACCCAAAACATATTTTTTGAGGAGAAACATGTTTAAAAGCTCAAAAAACTTTTAATTCAAGCAATCAAACCATTATTATTCATTTTAAGTAAACAAAAAGCTGAATTTTAAACAGAAAATGAAAACATGATGAAGACCTAAATGGTTCAAACGCGTTGGTGTCCCGTGGAAATAAAGGATTTTTACTCTTAAGTGAATTGTGCCTCGGACCCCTTCAAACAGAAATATATAACGTTTTGAATAATACATCTCCTTTAAAGTGAATGCGGAGGGAGGACCACTTATTGAAGACAAGCACAGGTTAGATCTGCCAAACTTGTCCAATCAGGAAGCTGTGGAAGCTGATTGGATAGAAAAAAATTCAACTCCATACATTTTTTTCACTTTCATTTGTTTTCACCTCAAAATCTTACTGGTTGTTGTTAAACAAATGGGAGAGACTGTTTAAATGATGTTATTGTCGTTATTGCTGATAATACAGTGTCCCCATGTCAGAAACATTAACCCTCTAGGGGCCACTTAGATGCGAAATTTTATAGCCTATCATGACGGTCAGCACTAGATCATTTACGGAATTGGGACGAAACCGGAAGTAACAATCCTACTCTCGACTGGTGGTGACTGGTTAAGTTTTAAGTGTAGTAAGATGGTTAAGGTTAAGGCTGGGTTGGGGTTATTCTTTGGGAATGGCTGGTTAAGTTTAGGCATTAATAGGTATTTTGTTATATAAGTGAATATAACAAAATTCCGTATATGATCTAGTGCTGACCCTTTCATGACCCCCTTGAAAAATTAATTTCAAGGGGTTATCCTTAAGAATGAAATGAGTTACTTTTAGGCGCTTGAAGGATTTATTTGAAAATGAGATACTTTAAATGAAAGGGTTGTGATTGTTCAGGGCCACTTACTGCGGATGTGTCTTGTACAGCGTGCCATCCACTCCCACGCTGACAGAAAGCTGGTTAAGGTTTCGATTTTCTCTGATTTTCTCCACAACGGCGGCAAGTCCGGCCCCGCAGAGCTGAGCAGCCCTCCGTGCCACAACTGTACAGACCTCTTTGACCAAAACGCTGTCATCACACGTGGAGGCGGTCAGACCCACGTGCTGCAAGATGGTGCGCACCTGTCTCATGGCCAAGCGGTCGCTGCATGAACAAAAACAAAATCTCCATTAGTCCCATTGAAGTCATGGTCCAAACCCAAACTGCCCCAAAGTGGTCGGTCTGTCACATGTAAGATGGACAGAGTAGCAAAGCAAGGAATCAATGATGTAAGGAATGACTGAATACTAAGTTGATGGAAGTCTTCATGTATAGACAGACAGAGGTTGGACAGCCGAGGCTATCTACATTATTGTACAAGTTTTTTTTAACCATTGTCCTTTTGGAGAAATAAGCTCACCTTGCCTCTCAGCTTCAGCCCTTGAAGAGCGTTGTATGTTGATGTAAAATGTATGTATAACTGCTTAGCTCTGTGGTTCATCGCTGGCAACCGGAAAATTATCATTTTGTGAATTCCTTTGGGTCTGTAATTACCTCTGAGACGTGACTAGACTGAGCACTGGGAGATGAGAGAGTTTTAACACACAAAAATACATGCTTACACCCACTGGCCACAAATGATACAACTAGAAAACACAGATGACAAAACAAAGATAATCATCAGAAAAGGAAACTTCTATGGGGTTAGTCAGAATAACTTTCAGGTCAATGCAAGTCTTGACCTCAGAGCTAAATAGACTTCGAAACAAGAAAAGAATCAAAAGCTAAACTGAGAGTCCCAATTAAAATTGTTTGTGGCTAATCAAAGAGCCGCTAATTACTTTTGCCCATGTAGTGAAAATATGTCTGCCAAAAAACTATTACATTTAATTTTAAGATGAAGTTAAAATTAAATGTAATAGTTTTTCAGTTGAAAGGTCAAACAGACCATGTATTTAGAAATGTCCATTAATTCCAAAATATTATAATGTTACTGTAAAGATCACAAAGATAAAAAATAATAAAAATGGATTGATTTTTATTTTTGATTTGTTTAATATATGAACTCACGCCTCCCTGGTCTTCATCTGGTTCACTGTGGCTGTTTAAATGAGCCACTACAGTAAGAACAACATTATAATAAATACAATTAAAATGGATGAAACAATAAATAAATACTAATGGTAGTACTGTCATACTGTAGTTGGTAGAGTATTGGCCTTTTGAGCCTGAAGGTTGTGGGTTCGAGCCCACCACAAGACCTACTTCACGACTCCCACTGATGACTGCTGTTGTTGTGTCCTTGGGCAAGACACTTAACCCCACTTTGCCTGAAGCCCCCACTGAAAGATCTCAGCTCCTGTGGACTCCCCACCTGCAGGAGGATCAGTGAGGGGCTGGTGCTCTGTGTACTGGGTGCAGCTCTGACTGCCACCCCCCGCGACCCAGAAATGGATCAAGGGGAAGAAAATGGACGGATGGTAGTGCTATACATCCAAATCATAGAACAAGCTTGCATGTGACTGCCCAGGGACTACAGTTCCTACTACAGAACATTACCAGGATCTCTCTCGTCTAGATGAGCATTTATTGTACACGATCCACAGCCGACAGAGCATGATTTTAGACTAGTTTAATTTAGATTGTATTGCTTTTAGCTCGTCTCATTCAACAGTAGGGCACAAATCCTGTAATTACAACAATATTAATCAGAAATCAGTCCAAAGATTACAGCTAGGAGACGAAAAATATGTTTTCCACTTTTATATTAGAATACAGTCTTATTAATGTTACAGACGTTAAAAGAGCAAAGTTATAGCTCCTGCTCAATGTAGAAGGTCATTTGTTCAATATCCTTATGACAACACATTCGAGATAAAGATGGTGGCATTGTGTGTAATTAATGAGGTAATTTCAATCATTCCCAGACAGAAAGCAAGTCACACAGCAATGTAACAATATCCAGCTTTAAGAACACACACACTGTTCAATTAAAAGAACATTAACTGTAGGACTTGATAAACTTTAAAACTTTCTGCATCTAATCTACAAAATGTATTTCATGACAGAGATGCTTGCTCATTAACAAAAACAACCTTACTAACAGCAATGGCGTTACTAATACCGGTCATCTGATCTGAACAGAAGGGACGTTGCTGTAGTTTGTACACAACACACTCACACGTGAACAATACACAACTTTCTTCACACCAATCGTAACTGTATTCACACTGACAATAACAAGAACGAGGAAGAAACACCTGTCTCGGGATGTTCTGACCCGCTCAGAGTCCAACTACTATGTCACAAGTTTCAACCGAACATATTCAGGGTAGGGATGTATAAAACTATGAATTTTTATGACCGACCACCGAGCCTCATTAACCGGTTGAAACCGGTTAACCGCGTAGTTTAAAATAGTCCACGTTCTTTGAAATAACAGCCATTTCGAGCCGCGTACTTTTCATAAGTGCAGCTGAGCGTTCTACGCGATCAGAGCCGAGACAGCGGCACCAAAACCCGCAACAGCTTCGGCACCTTTGCGCACAGAGAACTGCTGTTTTAATCTTCCCATTCTTCTGTGCTGTGGCTTAAAGCATTTTTAAGCAAAAGACAGCTCGTCCACATGGTCAGGGCAGCGAGTGACGAGCCGCGTCTCGCAGGTCTCCGCTAAAGTTTAAAAGTGAACAGTGTGGAGCTGATGCCGAGGACCAGCAGCACAAACATGGTCCATGTGGTTTGACTGGAGCCGTGTATTTGCAAGAATGCTTTGGGCTCCGTGACACAGAGGAGCGCGACAGACCGGTATGTGTGTGTGTACAATACATGTATGTATGTATGTATATGTATGTGTGTGTGTGCAATACATGTATGTATGTATGTATATGTATGTGTGTGTGTGCAATACATGTATGTATGTATGTATATGTATGTGTGTGTGTGCAATACATGTATGTATGTATGTATATGTATGTGTGTGTGTGTGCAATACATGTATGTATGTATGTATATGTATGTGTGTGTGTGCAATACATGTATGTATGTGTGTGTAAATATAAGCTCCAATGTAGTTCTGACCCGCAACAGTGTGCAACTAGCAGGCGGTAACACAGGGGAGAGATGATGCGTGTGGATGTTACGTGTCAATGGAGGGGGGGGAAATGTGTGTGTGTGTGTGTGTGTGCGTGTACATGTGTGCGTGCACGTACGGCGTGAGAGTCGGCCCAGAGTTTACTGTTACATTGGCGCACACAGCTAGATAGGGACCCGCTCGTCACATCGTGCAAATAGGGCTTAAAATAGCGTTATGAAGAGACCTCCCCTCTCCCCCTTTTCTCTTTTTTAACCGAGAGCTTTGACCGGTTAACGCTGTAACGGTCAACCACCGGTTAAACGGTCACCGATTTACATCCCTAATTCAAGGACAAGCCTCAAATAAAACACACAGAATCCCCGCAAAACGATCACCAGAATTCTTTATCAGCAGCATAACTGAAGGCTTTGTTTTGTTTTCCGTGACGGTAATAATAATCTGAGCTTTGAGCCCCAGTTCTGCCGCAGCTGTGTATATGTCCTGTCTCTCTGATGATCGTAGTTTTAAGCTCCAACAGACGTCATTCCTCCATGCGTCACTTCACACCGTGTTTGTAAAGTGCGGCGGGTGGCTCTTCAGAACGCGGTCTTGTTCACATGTTGCCTCCACGCGACTGTGGCAAGCGACCAAGACGTTTGAGGAGAGTCATTGATCAAACTAAAGTATTCTTTCCTTGGCAGTCCAGTGAATGACAGAGTCGGGGAGCACTGTCAAAGACGACATATTGTCCATCGAAGGCTTCTGTAGTACCAATATAAGATCAACGCTAGATAGGAGTAAAAAACGACACAGTGTACCATTAAAGAACGTGCCTTATTTATTTCTCATGTAGCACTGTGCTGATTAGTTGTAAGAAAAATGTGTGGATAAAAATCAGTGATCTCTTCAAAAAACCACTAGTGTTAAAAGGTATTAAATGGTGAATTATGCAAGCTTTCATATTAACGAACCTTTTTTTTTTTTAAATACACAGAAAAAGACAGCCTGTTGTGGTCAGATTTGTTCCATTTTACTTTCAGGCACAACCAAAAGTAGAAGGTATCCTAGTATTAATTTAGTGAGTTTTAGAAGATGATGGATGGATGGAGTTTTAGTTGTGGTTCAGGAGCGACAACATGTACACTTTCTGAGGCTCCCATAATTCAGCTCTGTTTCTTGTAGCAGCGTATTTATCGCATGCACAGGTTACGCAAATACACGCACTTCCAACAAGCATCTGTCCAGGGAATGGTCCCGTTTGTTCTGATCACATTATGGCCACACGAAGGCCGTGCACTCTACACTGTTGTCAAAGCAGGTTTGACAGGCCGTGGAGATGGGAACTGCTGCCTTTCACTACAAAATGGAGGCAATTGCTCCGGGGGTCAGAACGCTGCAGCAACGACGGAAGTGGAATCCTGTTCGAGTTTGTACTGCAAAAAACAGTCCATCTCAGCGTCCTGCATTACTGAGAAGGACTTCAGTGACATATGAAAGAATATTAAGTACACAGTTCCTTCCTATCCTTGCAATATAAATAGAACACTAAGTGCTACGGTGCGAGATACTTCTGAGTATATCTCAATGCAGAAAGTGACAAACAGATGGTTATGTTGGACAGGGCTGCATATATCTAAATGGGGTGAATTGAAAACATCATGTACCTTTCGATCTGCGACAGAAACTTGGTCTCAAAGATGCCGCGAGTCTGGAGTCGTTCTAAGACTTTTCCGCGGTACAACAGCCCTTTTTTGGTGAACTCTATCAAGACATTCCTCACAATCTCCCCCAGGTACATGCCGCTGATCATCTTCTCGTACCTGTGAACAACAAAACAACTTCAGTTTCAAGCGTACTAATCTGTTTTTAAGCTTGAAATAAATGAATGAATGAAAGAAATGAAACATGGGGTAAATAACAGGATTATCTGTCTCCAATGAGTTACACATCAGGGTACAGTTAGTACCACAGTTTGCATTCCTGTGACAACACAACATTCTAGAGAGCCGATATAGTTTAAGATTGTGGTGGAGCACACCTGAATGTTTCCTCGTAACTATAGTAACGGTCAAATTTCTGGTATTTCATTTAAATAGAGCCTTTCTTACAAAGTCACAAAGTACTTTACAGTTCCACACAATGTTGGGAGCAAGGTAGTAACTCAAGAGGTAAGTAGCCATTGTATGTAGCCATGGATGGCCCCAGAGAGAGTCAAGGCGAGGCATAAGACTCTCCTATCAAAGGCTCTGAACGCCCCTTCACTCCTCCAATCATGAAAATGTTTAATTATGTATTGCCTATAAAAAACATTTAAAACTTCCAAGCTGAATACATCCAAACATACAAAATAAAACTAAATGGCCCTAGTAAAAATGCCATGTGTTTTTATAAATGGATCAACGGCAAAATATAAACAAGGTAGAACTCCAGATCCCACAATGCATTAGTGATCCATGAGATAGACCTTTTTCAATCCTTTTCAACCCTTTTGAAAGAGTAATTTTCAAAGGTGACAATAAGTGACGTTATTTTTTCATGATAAAAGTGTGATTGCTCTGGCCTTGTCTTGTTTTCTACTCTGCAGAATCTTACCTCTGTTTTCCAGGTGTGGTGGAGGCTTCATCCACAATACGGTCAAAGTCTGTGGAAAAGTCGTCGAGTTCACCATTATCCCCAAAGCCCCCCCACTCCATGTTCACGCACATAAGGCCCTCATCTCCCTCAATGCACTCAATGTTCTTCATTTCCTCCATGTAACAGGCATTTGTTCCAGTGCCTGTGAGAGCAGAAAACACATGATGCAGAACTGAAGTAATGTTACACTAGAACACAGGTGTCCGTACGTTTTGACCCACGTTATATAACCCTTAACTACACGAATGCAGCTGGATTTTACGCTATCTTTTATTTTCAGCCACTTGATCAAACAAAACCATGAAATTCCTGGAGCTGTGTCCCTGTTATCTCGAAGGAAATACAACCTGTCTAAAGTCTAAAAATGGATTTAAAAACATGGGTTCTGCTTCATTATAGGTCCTTGAAATCTCATTTCTAATTTTCTGCCTCAGCTGTGAAAGGGAAATTGTTAAGTAACCATAATCTGGCATTCTACAGTATTCTATATACGAACCTAACCCCAGATATTTATCATGGGAGAGTTTGTCGCATAGCAACATGTGCAAATGTGTTTGTGTCTATATTTTACCTTTTGTGACACTTGGTGTGCGGGGCATAGAGACTGAAAGGCTTTGGATTTGGTCCAGACTCGAGGAGACCACGAGACTCGAGGGTAATGAACTGTACGGACCATTGGTACGGACTCCGCAGTGAGAGCCCAGTTGCCGCTGTTTGTTGCTTTACACGTTTTGGATTACACACTGGAGTGAGCGGGTGTGTGCACGCTACAAGTGCTTTTTAGAGTTCTTTCACAGATTTGGATTTCTTTCAGTATTGGATTCTGTTTTTTCTTTCATCATGTTTTGGATTCAACCTTGGGATACGTTTATTTAAGTTTGTAGTACGGGCTAAGTGCGATCCCATAATTTATGTAAACAATTTCTGCACAACAAACTCTTTCAAACGTTTCAAACATAGATACAATATTTATGATTTTTAGAGGAAAAACTAAGCAATCTTGTAGTAAGGAGTTTTAACCATTTTTGCACTGGAAAAAAAATTACCCAAATACCAAATACATACATAAAATGCACCATCCCTGGCAAAAAACCTCAATGTAGTTTTACAATAAGAATTATGCTGCATACCCACCCAGGATCCAGAGGTGAAAACTGGTACAGCTTCTGAAGTAACCATGTCCTATGTGCTTTGTTCTGACTTACCCACAATAAGTCCCAGTTCACACTGAGGATCCTCATATCCGCAGGTCATCATCGTCCCAACTGTGTCATTCACCACTGCCACAAAACTCAAATCAAAGTCCTAAAACCAGAAAATATCAAATATTAGGGCCGTCAAAATTATTGCGTTAAAGCTGCACTAACTGACTTTATTTTTGTATTCATTACGAAAATGCAATCCATGTCCATGTAGTGCATTGGGATATACGTCCTTTTGAAGAAAAAGTAGCGCAGATTTGTGCTGGCCTGACATTATATTTTAGATCGAGTTTTGATGAAACAAGGAAGAGAATGTGTTTCGGGTCGCAGATTGTGACCAATCACAGCGGACCACTAGCCCCCACTTTTGTAAGAAATCTACAGGTCTCCGTTAGCATAGACAGCTGAGTTAGCACAACAAGCGGCGGAGCTAACCTGAAGCTTTGTGTCTTCGTCACCGGTTACTGCTTACACAGCGAGACAGCCATCCAAAAGAAAGTCTCGTTCCTCCGCACTTCCCGGTTCTATCGTTCTATGGTCAAATCCATATCCATGTATTATCCATATGCATGTATTATCCATATTGAGAGACGCTAGCTCCAACAACAGTGGGTGTGTGTGTGGGGGCGATAGCTTCGTGGGTGCGGGGAGGGGAGCAGAAAGAGAAAGGCCAGCGAGTCCGCGGCTTCAAAATCCCAAAGTCAGTTAGTGCCGCTTTAACGCACGTTAATAACACATTTTCATTAATCGCGTCAAAAACATTAACGCAATTGACGCCTGTCCAAATGACCAGCCCATGCATCCCATAACAACACTCAGAAGTGGCACGGACACATGCGTGTGTTAGGGGTAGTTAGCATTAGCACAACTTCTTGTAAGCTGTACAGAAATCACTGATGAAATGGTACAACAGCAATGCACTGCTAACAAAATATACAGTACAATAACTGAAACATTAACGCTAGTTTCGCATCAAAATGTAGTTTGAGGCGGACTCGCACCCGCAGGTCTGTCCAGAAGATACAATGTAAGCTCGCTATGTTCACCAGGGCTTGATTTCTTCTTTGATCATTTTCTCGCTTTAGTTCCCTCTTCTCCTCCTCACTTTTGCATCTTTTGGGTTGTTTTGCGGTGTCTGCAGTTACAGCCAGAGGAGTAGAGCCATTTTCTGCCTCCATGCTGTTCTTGTTTACATGCGCTGCAGACGCTAGAGGAGGCGAGGAACTAGCGTCACGCAAAGTTTCTACTCAGCACTTTTTATGGCCTTAATTCATACACAAGCTAAATCAATTACAGGTTTTAAAACAACTTTTAATACAACTTAGAAAAAATACTGTCTACTACAGAAAGACATAATGTTAATAATGATAATGCCGTTTTATGTGGATTTATTGTTATAATAAAATACTGTACATATGTACACTATGTTGTCAATTATCTTTCCATTCAAAAAACCATTCACAGAAAAATATGGCATAATTTTGCCGATGCGATTGATTACAATTAATTAATTTTTAAGCTGTAATTAACTCGATTAAAAATTTTAATTGTTTGACAGCCCTGATCAAAATAGTATCAGTGTTTGCATGTTCAACCATTTGAAATGTGTATTTATTAAATTATTTATAATAAATTCATATAAATTACCAAAATGAAGCTACCTGGATGAAACTCCATGAATGATATTCAATAAAATAGTATAATATTATAGTATAATTATATATATATATATATATATATATATATATATATATATATATATATATATATATATACATACAGTTTTTGTGTATTAAAAGTTGTTTTAAAACCCGTAATTTAATTGAAAAATTTTGCTAATCCTCTAGCGTCTGCTGCACATGTAAACAAGAACAGCATGGAGGCAGAAAATATATAATAATTTCTGATGCAATGCCCATGCAAAAGTTGAGCATTTTGTCTAAATTCTCCATGTGTAATCTTAAAGTAGCAATATGTAATATTTTCATGTTAAGTCCTGCTTAAATGGCCCTAATATGTCAAAAGGTATTCATACATCATGATCTTCAACTTTCACAGGAGCCCTTTCCATCGACCCGTCACAGTAAATGGACAGGACATCGAAGTGGTCCACCTGGACCACAGACTGGACTGGTCAGCTCAGGCCAATACCATCTACAAGAAAGGTCAGAGCAGACTTTTCTTTCTGAGTAAACGGAGGTACTTTGATGTGAGCAGCCAAATGTTGCACATTTTTTACCAGCCTGTGGTAGTTAGTGCTGTGTTCTTCGGGGTTGCGTGTTGGGGGCAGTCTGACCTCGAGAGACAGTAACCGGCTCAGGCTGATCAGGAAATGTGTCTCTGTGATGGGGAGAAGTGTGGACTCTGTGGGAGCTGTGCTGGAGAGAAGAGGCTCTAATGCAGGGCATCCTGGGTAACTCCAGACACCCTCTGCATGACACTATGGCCCCTCAGAGGAGTCATCGAAGCAACAGGCTCCTATCGCTACGCTGCCAAACGGAACATTTCAAGAGATCCTTTGTTCCTTCGGCTGTCAGACTGTACAACAAACCTGACTGTACAACAACAAAAAGTTTTCTGCTGCTGGACACCTGAATTTCTCCAACAGGGGATCAATAAAGTATCTATCTATCTATCAAAATCTAGTCATTGTTTTCATTTCGATGTCCCGCCCTCCACCGATAGATGAACGAGCTCTTGATCTTCTGCACAGCAATAGATACGCACCATTAGAGAAAGAATGACCCGTCCTGTGTGTGTGCAGAGGCTCGAGTATGTGCCTTCTGTGCGCATGTGTGTAGTACGCTGTAGTACGCTGTGACACTGGAGAACTACTGTCAAAACCTTATTGTGATGAAAAACATATTTCACCTGTCTTCGGCAAACTGCTTCTTTCAGTAATGTCACCACGTCTCGACCTATACATCCAGTAGCGTTAAACCCTTTTGTCCAGTTAAGAAGAATGCCCTGAAAAAAAAAAAAAACATTGAAAAAGGTGAAATATCAAAAGAAAGTTCAAAGACAGACAAAGAAGACAATAGCGAGTGTACAACATCAGGGACCTCAAAAGGGATGTGCAGGAGTATTGTGCGTCGTAAATGTAAACTTAGTGGCCACAAGAGACTCTCTCCGACCTGTGCTTGATAGATCACACCTGCAGCTCTCCACAGCATTCACATAGAATGCCTAATAAGCAGTTTTGAGGAGTAATGGAATACATGAAACGCTGTATTCCGTTTAGGGATGTAAATCGGTGACCGTTTAACCGGTGGTTGACCGTCACAGCGTTAACCGGTCAAAGCTGACGCTTAAAAAAGAGAAAAGGGGGAGAGGGGAGGTCTCTTCATAACGCTATTTTAAGCCCTATTTGCACGATGTGACGAGCGGGTCCCTATCTAGCTGTGTGCGCCAATGTAACAGTAAACTCTGGGCCGACTCTCACGCCGTACGCGCCACATATGCACGCACACACACACACACATTTCCCCCCCCTCCATTGACACGTAACATCCACACGCATCATCTCTCCCCTCTGTTACCGCCTGCTAGTTGCACACTGGTGCGGGTCAGAACTACATTGGAGCTTATATTTACACACACATACATACATGTATTGCACACACACACACATACATATACACACACACAGATATATACACACATACATACATGTATTGTACACACACACATACCGGTCTGTCGCGCTCCTCTGTGTCACGGAGCCCAAAGCATTCTTGCAAATACACGGCTCCAGTCAAACCACATGGACCATGTTTGTGCTGCTGGTCCTTGGCATCAGCTCGACACTGATCACTTTTAAACTTTAGCGGAGACCTGCGAGACGCGGCTCGTCACTCGCTGCCCTGACCATGTGGACGAGCTGTCTTTTGCTTAAAAATGCTTTAAGCCACAGCACAGAAGAATGGGAAGATTAAAACAGCAGTTCTCTGTGCGCAAAGGTGCCGAAGCTGTTGCGGGTTTTGGTGCCGCTGTCTCGGCTCTGATCCCGTAGAACGCTCAGCTGCACTTATGAAAAGCATGCGGCTCGAAATGGCTGTTATTTCAAAGAACGTGGACTATTTTAAACTACGCGGTTAACCGGTTTCAACCGGTTAATGAGGCTCGGTGGTCGGTCATGAAAATTTTTTTTTTTTTTACATCCCTAATTCCGTTACAGTTTCGTCTAGTATTTAGAATACAGTTATTTTCTGAAAATCATAGGAATACATACCGTCTCATATTACATAATTATTAGGTTAAAAAAAAACCAGCAACACACATTATGCATCCAACAAGTCCTGGCGAACAGCAGCGAGCGCACAGAAGAGACTGTGGTTTAAAACAGGGGTGTGACGATATATCGATTTATTATATGACTTGGGCCTGTCACATCTTTAGATTTGGATGTTCAGACAATCAGCTCTTTGCCCTTAAGTGTCTAATATTGACTCACAGGGTTTGTCCTTGAATGCAAAAAAAAGTCTATTTCAAAGAAGACAGTATGGTGTTGTTCACAGCATATTACTTTTACAAGACATAATCTGTGAAATTAGAGCTTCTGTGAAGTTCACAAAGTAAAGTAGACATCCCGTTCCCCTCTCCAGACTCTTTTGTTTAGTTTATTATTACTTACCTCGTCCAATTTGCTTTGAACACAAGGGAAGGAGAAAGTAAATCCAAGCGGCAAAGACGCCCCTTTCATCCCCTTGTACTCCAGGAAGTCAGCCATGCAAGATACTATGTGGTCAAAAAGCTGAAAAACAAACAGTGCAAACCAACGATGACTAAAGTGACATTTTATCACATCTTGCTCTTAAGAGAGTAAAAAAGTACCTCTTCTCCGGTGCTTTGCATGATCTCCTGTGGCACGCTGTATATTTTTTGGTTCATTTCCACATTGTGTTTTGTTCCAACTCGTACTCGGACCAACAGTATGCGAAAACTAGAACCGCCAAGATCCAACGCTAAGAAATCCCCATTTTCTGAAGAAGACGTGTGGAGATTAGAACAGATGTAAATATGGATTTATACTACGAATTAATCACAGCTAATAAATAATTGCAGGTACTAACTAATCCCTGACATGGCTTTATTACTATATAAATGTAATTGTTTTAAGTATTTCTTTTCAAACAACCTATTACATTACAGGTAGTCTGAAGATGCTGCCATAGTTCTGTTTGGGTCAAATGTATAAAGTAATCCCAGATGTAAACACCAAATCATGATTGATCTAAAGAATTAATTATAAATATGATTATCAATCACAGCCCAAATGGATTTGAAAACTGATAATGGCCATTTGATTTACATAATTTTATATATTAGTAATTATAGTAAGTTCCCAATATATTTTTTTAGTATTTTGTATATGTAGTTAATATGCATACTGTATGTTAAACTATCTTTGCTGAACATGTCTATTTTATAATGTAATATTTGAAGCACTTATTACTGGCATTTTAGACATATGTGTTTTTTATATATTGCCCATCTCTACTCTTCATATTGACCATTCATTATTTCAGATTCTACAATTGCATCGTTGTGAGAGCCTAGTTCATGTCTGCACCTGTCCCATTGGGTGTCGAGCGGACAAATGAAGGCAGCATCTTGACACTGGCTTGTTGATGCGTGTCCCTGGACAGGCCTTTCGACATGGCGTCACTCATTCGATCCTTCACTTCCAACAGCTGCCCGCGACTCAAACGCAGTGTGTCCAAGATACGTTTCTGTTCAGCTTGTTGCACTTCTAATCTGTACGCCACAGCAGTCACCATCGCCGCGCCTTTTCCACTGCCGTCCTGCGACTGGAGGAAGCGCATGTCCACGTCAGGCACGAGCCGGCGGACCATCTTATGGAGCCTTCTAGCAAACCTGTGGAGAAAAGTGAATGATCAGAATCAGAATCATTTGTATTGCCACATAAGTAACAGGAAGTCACAGACTTGGAACTGATCTCATACTTAAGACATTTTGAGATCATTAACACACATGCTTGATTCCACCCATGGTCAAACTGTGTGGATAATCAGGCAAAGGCAACATGTAACAGTGTTGTTGATCTGTATGCTTGCACTTTCATTTGGAGTTTTTTCCTATGATAGTGTTCGTAGAAGCCTATAACTCTGGAAACTCTGAACATTTGTCTCATACTCACAATTGTGGGATGAAAAATCTTTAGTTTGGCACTCTCGGTGATCCTGATTTATTGTATGTAAATACATAAAATGAGCTTTCACCACTGAGCAAACAGGTCTCTCCAATCCCTCACTCCTAAAAAGCTGTTGGGTGCTTCGTCGTTGTTACCCACAACATTGGAAATAGCCAGGTCTAATCTGCTTCTTCCACAATAAGGCAAACACTATGAGTAACCTCAGGAATTAGTCCACTTCTTCTCTGGTTCTGAGCTGAGCATCAACAAGACACAAGATTTGTGTCAAACCCTCACCGCCTCTGGTGTGTAGATAATCTTCATTTAATAAGAGAAATTGCAGCAATATCTTAACATGAGTCATCATGAACAGTCAAGTGATTGGTCTGAGTTCTGATGCCATCAGCAAAGTAATCAGCGCTGCCCCTTCCCCATCATGGGGGAAAGATGGAGAAGGGGCATCTTCTCTCCTATGGGCCAGATAGACTTTGTATCTGGCCCATGGATCGTAGAAGGACCGGGTGCTGACGTCGCCAATATTGTTTGCTTTATTGCACCAGTTAGAGATAAAACAGGCTCTGTGGTTCAGGAAGAGCAACTAAAAAAAGCCAATCAGGAATGGCGCTGGTCTGTACACGCTTCCGCCATCTGCAATCCAAAGCTGAATTTGGGAATAGAAGGCTCCAGATTGGTCAGATATTTGTTCAGGGATCAAATCTGGATTTACAAAATCTAGTATCAAAAAAACAACACCAGAATCGTGAAGTAGAGATAGAGTGGGACAAGTTTAGTGAACTTGAATAATTCAGTAAGATATTAAATATGAATACACAGGACAGTATTCTTTTGGGTCTCTTACTGTGGATGATTCTTGTACACAGATCCATCTACTCCGACCGTAGTTCTCAATTTCTCTGCTGCCTTATTGTCTCGAATTTGTCGCAGGATGGAAGCAAGTGTAGAAGCGACTAAATGTGCCGCCCGTGTGGAGATAATTTCACAGACCCGCTGTGTCCCGATGCAGTCTTCAAGAGAAGGATTCAGACCAAAACCCAGAAGGACCCTCTCTGCCTCTGCCAGACCTTCCTCCTGACTGCATGAGGGAAGAGAAGAACATGTTGACTTATCATGCAGTATTTTTGGCCATTGAATTTTATAATGAAACTATTTACTTTGTCACAATCAGAATAATTTTTATTTCTATGTTTATATTATAATTTCAGGTCACTTCAAGTATGAAGGGTAAAAGTCCCCTTTTTTATATCAAAAATATAATAATAATTTGTATGACCGAATAAACAAAACTACTACTACTACTACTACTACTACTACTACTACTACTACTACTACTACAAGGTGGCTAGACAGTTAACAGCTAGGCAAACAAGTAGGTTACTTACAAACTAGAACTCTCTGGAACTACATGAAAACTGAACAAAGAATTCTGAACATCAGCGGTGAGTTTCCCATTTATATACCGAACCTAAATCCATAATCAGATCCTCTGCAAATGTGTTCTAAAATGTTCAACTAATGTTAAAGGTTACTTCCGGTTTTACCGTGATAGCTTTTTGGCGCATTAAAACAGTATTTTTGTCATGAAAACTTTAACAGATCGTTCTGAAAACCTCCGTGCACATGTGTTAAGAATGTATATGTATAATGTATTCTCCGATTAACATTTAAATGTGTTGATTGATTGATATTTGTGTTATTGAGCGTGGCTAGCTCCGATAGCTTCTCTCACACAGACAGAAGTAACAAGTGAAGTTTACAAACTACTGTCCGGAGTAATCTTAGTATTTTACAAACTTGAATTACAAGCACAGAGTGCGTTGCCAAAGGAAATTAGTGAAATAATGATTGTTAGAACGTTTTGAAATCACATCAATGGAGCATTCTACTGCTGCTGTGAGGAACTGTATATTTAATAATCTCTCCTCTGGCGCGTGCACATAACAGTAGGCGTGGCTTCAAGACCGATCAGAAAGGAAGGGGGAGGGAGCTTGGGTCGTTTTTTCAAATCATGTACCTATCGCTCTTTTTTCTGACAAAGTCCAGACCATCACTTAAAATAGATTTGTAAATGTATTTGGGAAAAAGTCAGCATTATAAATTACGGCTGAGAAATTGAGAAAAAAAATAGTTTATGCACAATATATATTTTGAGTGTGATTACATAGTAAAATGACATCATACTATTAGAGGACTGTGAGAGGGCGGAGTTACATGCTTGTGCCAGATGTTCCTTATATCGTTTACATATTATCCATCCGTTTTTCATTCCGCTAGCTCCTTTGCTGGTCATGGGAGCAGCAGTCTAACCAGAGGTACCCAGAGTTCACTATCCACAGTTCCGCACACACTTCCTTCAGATTAGGACAATGTGTTATTAATCACAGACATTTTTTAAACACTCAAATATTTTCTTTCTACATAAAAATTATAATTTTATTCACAATCCAAGCTCTTCAACTACGTTAAATCAATATACTCTTATTAGCGTCACAACTGCTGTGACATAAATATATGAGAATCTAACAGTAATCATTTGAATCAAATCAATAAGATTTTTCTGCCAAAAGAGCCGTGAATACCTTTAATAATACGTCACACTGACCTCTCATTCTCGATGGCGTAAACATCGCTGGTTTTGAAGTGTCCAGAGGTGAGGAGCTGTGGAGTCGCACGGCCTTGAAATAGGAGCCCCTGTCTGGTCATTTTCACCAGGCAGAGGCGCACCAGCTCCCCCATGTACATTCCACTGATCATTTTCTCAAACCTGGAAAAGAAACATATTGTGTACTAACCTTTTGATGATAAACTAGACCAGGTAAAGAAACTTAGAAATTTTACAAATAAACTCAAAGATAACTGCATCTCTGAACGTCTCCCAGACCATGCAGAGAAAATGTTTTGGGTCTATGGTTGCCCTCTGTATGCACTCCATGGATCTATAATAATAACTGGATAGGGTATTACTAGCTTATAGCTGTCCCCCCCATGGGTACAGGTACTGCAGACTAAATTCACGCGGGTTACCCAGAAAAAAGTCCCATAGAACTCAATGTAAGTTAAAACAGCTCGACCTCAGCTGAGAGAGAACCTACAGCGTATTTTGTGGGGATTTTTGTGTCCCTTGTCATCCTGAACTTTTTTTTCTTCTTAAATCTTTCGGTTTTCTTTAAATCCACACTTTACTGCCACAAATTCTGCTCCTTTCCTTCTGGCTCCGCTCTGCTGCTGCTCTGATCAGCAGCTCTGATTGGTCAGAGCGCAGCTTAGCCCCTCTGTGCACGTGCATGAAAGCAACACACGCGTATTTGGCGCAACGCATCATGGGAGCTCGTCCACTGCGCAGAACCGGGAGGACCAGACGATGCCCAAATATTGGCCAGTTCTGCTAATCTCCCAGTCTCCGTGAAGTCCCATGCGCTACTGAGCACAAGCCATTCATTTGAATAGGGCGCCATCTTGGATCACCAGGGCTTGATGCACTCTCATTCTGGGGGAGCAGGCTAGCGGCAACTGATAGCAACCATGAAACAATACGATACATACTGTATCTAGGGAGAGGGAACTCTCAATATAATACAATGTATAGAATCATTTCTAAACCATACAATATGCTTAAGTAAAAATGCTCCGCCACATTGACAGAAAAGTCAACTCCACCACAATCCACTCTGCGTATTACCTATTTCTGGACTTGGTAATCTGCACACTTGCAATTCATCACAGGCTGTTTGTCCGTCTACACACCCTGTTAGAAGTTCATGCTTTGCTTTCTTGAAATGCTGCTTTTTTGCTTTTTTTGCTTTTTTGAGTATAATTTTTCACCATTATATTCCAGTTTTCCCATCTCTTACTCTATTTATTTAAAACAAATTTTTGGTTCAATTCAACAACCAATTGTGTGCCTTACGATTACTTGTGACAAGAACAAACGTGTGACTACAAACCCCTTAAATTAATTGCACTAATGGGAACCAAATGGGTTGAAGTGAAGATCAAAAAATAATAGCATAAATCAGTGCTTAGGGTCACTAAGCTCAGACATAAAAGCATCTCTGCGCTGTAAAGAGGAGCTAATCAAATTGTCTATGACAGTGGTTCTCAAATTTTAGTAGCAGCCATCTTCCTGTGGACTCAGCACCTGTAGAGGATCAGCGAGGGACCGGTCCTTTGAGCATTGGGTGGTAGCTCTCATTGCGGCCCCCCCGACCCAGAAATGAATGAATGAATGAATGAAAGGAATCAAGAAGCACCAGAATGAAATCAGGCACCACCATATTGGTCCATATTGGTCCACAATGTAAGTTTTTTCTTCAGCTTGAAAAGAGTGTTTCTTAAGAATATCACCAAGTGGTACAATGAAAAGAGGGCAGGGCCTAAAATGAAGCCCTGTGGAACACCACAAATGAGGACTGGAAGACCAAACATGTAAGATCCAAAGTGGACAGAAAGACACCTGTCACTAAGATAAGACCAATGGGGGTTGGTCCCGGCTCAAAAATGTCCAAAATGACATACTTGTAATACCACCCCGATACGATAGCGGTACACCCGGAATAAGATTTATTAAATGCTAATGTACGTATCATCTTGCCTATCAAAAATGGCTTCATAGGACGGTCCAAAAGTTGGCTCTTGGCCCAACGTTCCACACGTGTCAATGCTGAGGGGAGTGAATTTTTTTGTCTCCCGGTCCAGACAGAGAGCGGGGTCACCAGTACAGGAGGCCCATGCCAGACATATTGTACATGGTTTTAGTGGTAGGGGAAACGGAGCACCCGGAGGAAACCTAGTCAAGTCCAAGTTTAAGGTTTGACAAAGAAAAGTTGGTAAAGCTCTATTTCAATTTATTTTCTTGATTACATCAGAGGAGAATAATTGGCTATTGATCTGGTGTGCAATTCAACTCCAAACTGTGTGAAAGCAGTGGTGCAATTCATTTAAATATTTGTACTCGCAGACAGCTATTTATAAAAGCTCTGATGGCTTTTCTTGGCTACAAAGTTATTCTAAAAATAAACAGAATAAAACATTGCAGTTATTGAATAATATTTGTTTGTATAATCTATAATTAGAGATTGATTATAGTTACTGTATATCCCCAACCATTAGCCATTAAATAGTCTTCTCTGTCCTGTTAATTATTCCATTCACAAAGCCTCCAAATGACACGGCCTTTATGTAACAATTGTGTCCCAAGTTCAAGGCATTAATTTTTCTTGAAATGGTTCAAGCTGTTCATCCGAGATTGTCCTGTGTATATTTATAAACTACATAGCATTAAAGATTTTTGGATCATACATTTATTTTATTGCCACTTGAAGTAAAAAGATTGATGCATTGTACATATAAGGGTAAGCGAAATACATGTGTTTGTAATGTATTATGTATATGATTACACAAACTCAACTCATCAACTCAAAACCTATTTAAATTTAGCAGCAAAGAAATAAATTAGTCTGTAGTTGAATAATCAATATGATTAAGAACAATGACAATGCAGTATTTGGCTGTGATTAGATTAGATATAATCTCCTTACAATTATCAATACCGATTGATTTCATATTTATGTTTTTACAAAAATATAAGAATAAATTGTTATATTTTGAACACGTTCAGCCAAATGTGTTTTGTTTAAGCATGCGCTGATGCAACTCATTTTAACAAAACAATATTATTTACAGGTAAAGATAAAGTTTGACTTAACATTTAAATCCAAACTTGTAATTGACTTCACCAAGATGGGTCCTGACATGCATATTCATTATTTTTTTAATATGCTTTTGTTAGCATTTAGTTATTATTTCCAAATTGGCTCTCGAAGTTGCTAAACACATAATGTCTTCTGAAGGTTTGGCAAACTTTAAAACCTGCCCCTTTGTCGAATGGAACTGTACACCAAAGAGATAAACTCTTGTTAAATACGTTGTTAAATCTGGTGATTGGGTTTTCAGCTCAGAGCGGAGCCACTTCACCAGATGAGACCATACTAAGTGATTGACTCCACCCGAGGTCTACACAGGTCAATCAAGCAAGTGTGAAAGTCTGGAATCACCTGTCTGTGACCAGACGGAGCACAGCTGCAGTGCAAGATGACATCGCTCTAATCTCAACAGATGGAGTACCAACCCTGGCCCCAACAGCACTCAGGGGATTCCAAGGAGATGGGAGAAAAAAACTGTTTATATTGTTACAGCTGTGTGCTGCCCTTAGTATACCCTCCAGGATACTAAGTGGATATTGTGTACTGTTTGTCTGTCTTTGTGCCTATACAGTAGTTTTCTGGCTATCTACAGTAGGTCCCATTCCGTTTTGTCGCCTTTCACGCGTGAATCACACGAGAATCACGTGTGATTCACGCGTCTTTTATTTTCCCCCCTCCCAGTGACGTTGCAATGACCAAAACAACCACCAGGTGGCACTTGTGAGCAGGGTTACATTGGCGAGTTTCTGCCCCGCGCACATCGACAATCTGGTTTAAACGGGCAACTCCTTGTAGCAGGCCAGTCTCTGGAAAACCCGCAGACATTAAAACTACTGCATATAACGTAAACTTTTGCATCACGTTGGTGATCTTTCCAAAAAGAGAGAATATCGTTATGGAAAGAGAAACTATTGGCTCCGCTGGTGTCTCCTCCCACTCAGAAAAAAAGCAGACGCCTTTTCTCTGGCATCTCTAACATTTTATAATAAATACATAAATATAACAATCATAATGAAGATGCTTTCAAATAATTTAGCAAGCTGTAATTCATTTATTTCAACTGCCAAACTTCTCTCGCTGCTCCTCTCCTCTCCTCCGCAAATCACTAAATGAGGAAAAGGGAATATTCACTCAATCTATTTTGAATGTTACACATACAATATTAATATAGTCTAAGCACGTGTACCACATGTAGCCCGTGTATTTACCACAGACTGTAAGTATTAAAGTAATGAGGCCCCTGCTTTAGGCCTCTGCTGTGAGGCCCACAGTCATCAGTCTCGGTGCCTCTGTGTAGATCACACGTCTGTCCTCGGGCTGGAGTGTTCTGAGGCTTTAAGCGGGGAGTCAGGAAGGAGCGATCCTGTTTGTCAGCATGATTTTTTTGTTTAACAGCCTCCCTGCGCGATTGCAAATGTACTCAAGGGACTCCCATACCGTGGCTCACATATATAATATTATATAGGGATCAGGAGCTTTCTGACCCGACCCACCCGCACCTGACATGACTCATATTTTTGAGGCATCCAACCCGCCCGAAACCGCGGGACCCGCGGGTTGACTGCGGGTTTCGGGCCGACCCGCGCACCTCGCATGTCCTGTTCAGGGCTGCAGGAGCAATTGTCCATTATTTTAATTGGACTTCTGGTCCATGCACACTGTAAAAAAGATAAAGTTAGTTCAACTCAAAATTTCAAAGCAACCAGCTGCGAAGGATTTTTGAGTTGAAGGCATTAACTTAATTCTTCAAGTTTTGAAGAACTACACTTATTAAGTTGTGTCAGTTAAGTTTTCCAAGTTCTGCCAACTAAGTGTTTAAATTCAGATTACTGTCGCGAGCAGAGAGAGAGAGAGAGAGGTGAGCAGAGAGAGAGAGACGCGAGCAGAGAGAGACGTGAGCAGAGAGAGAGAGACGTGAGCAGAGAGAGAGAGAGAGAGGTGAGCAGAGAGAGACGTGAGCAGAGAGAGAGAGACGCGAGCAGAGAGAGAGAGACGCGAGCAGAGAGAGAGAGAGACGTGAGCAGAGAGAGAGAGACGCGAGCAGAGAGAGAGAGCAGAGAGA